GTATTTCATGTTTCCTTTACGGAAAATTATTGCCTTAGTTTTATCAGTGTTAATTTTAATCCTCCAAAGGTAAGCCATTTTTCCAGTTTTATGAGATAGCTTTGGAGTTTGTTTCTTACGGCGGTAACTGTGCAGGCTTTAGTAAGTATGGCGGTGTCATCGGCAAAGAGTGCAAGATGAACAGAAGGTTCTTTAGGGATGTCTTGTGTATAAATATTAAAAAGGTACGGCGAAAGTGCCGACCCCTGTGGGACACCAGCATTTATTACTCTGGTGGTACCCTGCATGAAGGAGTAGAAATTAATCCAGAAAAAAAACCTCTTTATTTTAGTCTTATCTGAACAGATAATTTTGTATCCGATATATTGTCACATACTGTGTGCAATCATGAAGGAGACTCATTTGAATTTTGTATAATAACTATTGGTATGCTAACCAGAAGTGGAGCAGGTATCCGTGGAGAACAGCTAAAAGATACAGAATTTTTCAAAAGTGACGTCAAAGGTGAAAATTTTTCTAATGGGACAAAATGAGATTATATAATGAATCAAGGAATTTTGTATTGCTATTTTTCCCGACTTAACTACCTAAAATATTCTTTACTGTGTAGAATAAGTCTTAATTACGAAAAGTTCTCTGAGTAATTTATTGTTTCACCGAAAGTCTTTCAAACTTCCTTCCTTACAGAATTTGCTATTCAAGGTTCAGCTGTTTATACCGTTACTCATTTTAGCTTCAACAGACTGAAAACCCACATTTCACAAGAACTGGAAAATACGTAGTGATGTTTAAATGTTGCAATAGAAGAAGTTCAAATTAAGAACATTTATTCTATAAAGCTGTACAAACTTGACCCTAATGTTTGGAATCTAATTTGGCTGAAATTTAAATTTATTTTAATTTGCTAAAGCCTACTTTGGGTCCATTTGTTTCTGCAGTACTTGTTTTATTTAGAAATCTTAGTTTACTTGTGGATTTTTTTTTTTTTTTTTTTTTTTTTTCAGATTAACTCGCATAAGCTTTTCCTGTAATATATGATTAATTTTAATAGATAAAAAAGAAATTGCAAAAAATTATAAGTCACTAGATTCTAAAGCATGTTTGTAATTTCTTGATGTAAAGCAGCAACAAGAAACATGGACAAATGAACTATTCAAGCTATAACTGAAAGGAAGTGTAATACTTAATCAGCATACTTTTAAATTCAGCAGCTGCATCATGTAATTCTATATAAAAATTGAGACTACATTTAATCCTTTGAATTTTACTTTTTAGCAAGCATAAAAAATAAAATTTTCCAAAAGTATTCAGATAGAAGATGTTAACTTTTTATATTAAAAATATAAGTAAAAGATATTCAAAGAATATTTGCATATCCTCTATTATTTTTTTGTTATTAATACTGTATATTTAGAATTTTATCTTTTAGGTTTCTATATTTATTTCACTTATGTATTATTTAATGTATAAAAATAATAACGAAATGAAGCGTGTAGTCATTTTCTGAATTGTTATCCTCATTTTTTATTTCAGGGAAGTAAATCCTAGATATTAATAGGACTAAATGCTGTATGTGTTTGTTTTGGTATTAAAAAAAATTTTTTTATATAATAACTTAAATTACATTTCATTTCATTTAACATATTCAGTTTATCCATTCTATGAATAAAAAAATTAGAGTTTATCAGTTTAGTTGGGGACAAATATTATTCATACACAGATAAATGCACTCATTAAAACATTATGCAATTTATATTAACATCATTTGACTGTCATTGTACTTTCTGTGAACACATGGAAAAAGGGTGGATGTTTATTTAGTATGATGACCTGTATACAATATCACCACAGACATAATGATTACATTTGTAGATACCAACAAATATATTTTGCACATTTTGCTGGTAAATTTATATAATTAAATGCAAAAGTCAAAATTGGTACTAAATTTTAAACACTACATTCAACAAAATCTTAGTAAATATGGATCTTAATTTTATAAATGAAATATATATCATGATGCACTGTATAGTCAAGGAATGCATATTTTAAAACTATAATAAATAAAATATTTGCTTAAGTTACATTATTCATTCATAATACAAATCATTACAAAGTATAAATACAGATGGAAAATGAAATTTTATATTTTACAAGAATTTTGGCATATTTGTTTTTTTAAACTTTTCTATATTCTTAAATTATACATTTAGTCCTTCTTATTACATTACATGTATCCCGTGTATTACTGATATTTTAATTCTGGTATGTACCTTATTAACAGTTTAAGCATAATAATACAACTTAATTTGCTTGCCAACTGAATTGTGGACTTCTAATATGTTGTTGTCTGTACTCTGCAATGTTTGTTAGTCCTTCTTATTACTTACATGTATCCCGTGTATCACTCATATTTTATTTCTGGTATGTACCTTATTAACAGTACAATAGGCTCAAATTCTAAGTAATTGACGAGGCCCATCAGCTGAACACTGGTGGTTTGACTTCAATTCCTGGAGAATGGGCTGGTTGCATGGCAGTTTTTCCATGTGTAACAAAAGTTAGTTAATGCAGTGAGTTACATACACATTATTTAAAACTATTTAAGCATATTTGGTACTGTGTGTATTTTATGTAATATTATTTATATCTATCTCTACTCTACATATTTTTATTTACATTCAGTTTAACAACACTCAAGTATAGCTATAGTCTACATGTTACTGTGTACTTTGATTATTATAAAATGAGAAAGGTCTAAACACAAAGAATTATGACTACCTGATCCTATACTAATGGTACACAATGTTTACAATTACTTTTTTTAAACACTCAGTGCATTTATGTACATAGCATAACTTGCATTTAATATATTCAAACTCAAGTGTAAAGTTTCTGTACATATAATAATGGTATTTATAATATTACAAATTGCATTAGTATAATTGCTGTTTGTACATATATAGTAATGCTATATATTAATGCTATTTGCACTTACAAGCAATGCATAATATAACATGCTTGCACATAAGACTACTGAAGGAATTGTATCAGATATTTTCTTATTTATTGTACATAATCGTACATACGGTATTTTATGTATGGAGTGTTATTACATATACTGTATTTGTAAGTATGTGCAACATCTCACCAATGCCCACTGTGGCCCAGCATTTAACTTGCTAACACTGGTAGGTCAACCCAGGTTCATATCCTGATGAATGGGCTGGCTGCATTTGAGTTTTCATGTTTTTTTTTTTCATGTGTTATAGGGATAAAAGGCAATTTCTCTTAAAAAGGAATACACAAAGGCCTCCATTCCCTCGATGGACACGCTTGTATGCATCGGGGAAAAACATGCAGATTACTAAAACTATGTATCTTTAATAGATTTGTACTTATACACCCTTGAACTCGCTGTATTTTGTGAATTTTGATTTTAGCCATAGATGCATTTATAACCAGTGTAATTTCAATCAATGCGATACTGTATCTTTAGTATCGCATTAATTAGTTGCATTAACTTGTGATCTAGTCAAATTGTAATAAGCTAACATAGATTTAAATTTCCCTGTTATTCATGATATAGTGTTTTCTTTATTATGCATTTCTAAGCTTATGGTATTTTTGTTTACATTGGATTACTGAAAGTGTATGTGATATTATATAATTATATGCTATGTAATACTGTATTCCTTGCAGTATATGACATGTTTTGATGCTTTTTACCTCCATAAAAACTCTGATCGTAAAATCTAAAATGATATGCATAAAAACTAGGACTTGTATGCCCATGTAACTTTTTTTAAAATAATTCAGTAGCTGCTGTCTGGTCTGCCACTTCAGACCCTAGTCATGGCTTCCATGGAGATATATGTATCACTAAACATTTCTGTTCAACATTATGCAGCCATAGCTGGGAGTTGCTTCAGTAGTAAAAATGTTGTTACTTGATAAGTAATGCTTTATATTTATATGCATTTGTCACAATTCACAACAATATTGAAGACCGTTGGCATTTAAATATACCTAATACAATGCATAAAAGTTCTACATATATTAATGAATCAATTAATTTAAGTAACCCGAAAATTCAAAATGAACTTATATCACCACTATTTAAACATTAACTCAAATCAAAACACACTATAAGTTTCTATACCTATGAAATGATACATTTTGCTGATTACTTTTTATTTTGCCTGCATTATTGGTGCATAATGCAATCGCGCAGTGTGTACCAACCATTATACTATATAAATTTAATTATATTTGAGAACGAAAAAAAAAAAAGAACTAATGAGTTTCCACAGTCGATCATAAGCTTACGTTCAGCTTAATGCGGAAATCTCTGTCGATCTGAGGAGAGAGAACTTCAGTGACGTCACAGCCAATGGACGGCGAGAACGCATTTTCGTTTGTTTACCCCAAGTGAGCTAACCTTTTCTTTTTACGGACCTTGGTTGAAGATTGCAACACGAAATGAGTGTAACCTTTTTTCTTAACCACTGCTACTGGCTACCACCAGCTGTTTCTCCCTTTTTCGGCGTCAAGGCTGTTCTCAGAATATCCAAATATTCCTCCAAAATGAAAATTGACTATCCGCCCAAATGAAGTTGTAGCGCCCTCTATTTTTGAATATTGATACTAATCGAAAATACAAAAGTGATATTCAGCAAATTTTTATTAATAACATGGTAAAGTATGCTATTTTTTAATTCAGCAGAATTTTGAGGATGTGTTATGTAGCAGCAGACTTTTTCAGTACGGCAGTGCAATTTTTTATGTGATAATACAGGGCTAAATTTGCTTATGTTGAATGAATAGGCAGACATTTGTCAACAAACCGCCTTAAAATAACAATTTCAAAGGTAGTTCTAAAATACGATCTGTGTGTGTGTGTGTTCAATATAACAGTTCAGTGGCATGGTAAGAGACACCAAAGTTTATTTTTTTCCTTGCGGCTGAAAGACTTAACAAATGCAAAAGAAGTCGGTCCGTCTGACTATGATTCCGCGTGTACTTCGTAAGTTGTAAAATTTAGTTGGAAGTAAGTGATCATTATGGCCCGTTTTTTTCGCAAACAAAGTAAGCGCATGTCCTGTCGTAAAAAATACAAAATAATAAGGAAGGTTGCCGAGCATAAAAGAAAGCTTCGACGCGAAGCAAAGAAAAACCCGGTGAAGAGGAAACCGAAAGATCCTGGTGTTCCTAACAGCGTACCGTTTAAAGATGATATACTGCGAGAAGCAGAAGAGAGAAAGCAAAGAGCTAAAGATTTACGTGAAGCGCAAAGAGAAAGTAGATTGAAAATGCAAATGGAAAATAGAGGTGTGGAAGATTTAGTGAGTAAGGCTGTCAAGAAAGATAAGAAGTATGAAGGTGATTTACCAATTGATAATTCCGAAGAAGAGTTATTACATAGTTCAAGTACTAATTTCAAATCTTATTACAAGGAATTTAAAAAAGTTGTTGAAGCTGCAGACGTTATTCTAGAGGTATTAGATGCTAGAGATCCTTTGGGAAGTAGGTGTCCTCAAGTTGAACAGTGTGTTATCAATTCTGGTAAGAAATTGGTTTTGGTACTAAATAAAATAGATTTGATACCGAGAAATAATTTAGACTCGTGGTTAAAATTTCTTCGTCAAGAGCTGCCCACAGTTCCATTTAAGGCATCCACACAATCCCAGAATACTAATCTCTCGCAATCCAAAGTTGCTGCTTTCCACATAACTAAAAGTTTGCAAACATCAAGTCGCTGTGTGGGCGCTTCATATCTCATGAAAGTACTTGGAAATTATTGCCGAAATCAAAATATTCAAACCTTTATTAAAATAGGTGTTGTTGGTTTTCCAAATGTGGGTAAAAGCAGCATCATAAATAGTTTAAAACGGACTCGTTCGTGCCGAGTTGGAAGTGTGCCAGGTGTGACTAAGTCAGTTCAAGAAGTGTCATTAGATAAACACATTAAGATTCTGGACAGCCCTGGAATTGTATTTGCTAAGGATGGATCGCCAGCAACTCTGGCTTTGCGAAATGCTGTTAGAGTAGAAACATTGAAAGATGTTATCACTCCTGCAGAAGCTATTATCCAACGAGCTGATCGCACTCAACTTTGTATGCATTATACTATCCCAGAATTTTCATCAACTCATGAGTTGCTTGGTTTATTGGCCAAGAGAATAGGTAAATTTAAAAAAGGTGGTATCCCAAATTTTGAAGATGGTGCTAGAAGATTAATTAATGATTGGAATAGTGGAAAAATTAAATATTATACCCATCCACCTGAAGAATACAAACCATCGATTCATATTAGTGCAGAATATGTTTCAGAAATGGGAAAAGCATTTGATTTATCATCTTTAGACGAGCAGATGGAGTTGGATAAAGCTCCTGAAACACTGCCAAGCAAAGCTGTTGCTGCTAAGAGTGCTGAACCAACAGAAGGTATGCTATCTGGTGAAGAGGAAGAAGCCATGGATGCTGATGATGATTTTGCGACAAGGAAGGAGAAAATGATTGTGGCTTTTAATGAGAGAAAGAGACGGGAGAAAGGTGAGACTGACCATGAAACGAAAACTTTCCTGAGAACACAACAAATAAATAAAATTTTGAAAAAGAAATTGAAGAATATGAGACGTAGACGTAAGAAAACTGAAAAGGCTGCCGTTGCTCTTTCTGAATCAATGGATAGTGCTTTAAGTATTGCATAAATTTAATAAATGAAAGATATTTAAAGTTTTTTCTGTTTTTATTATTTTGTGTGTTGCTTTATTTTCACTAAGATTTTGCTGAGATTTATCTTTTAAAAACAAGTAAGTGTCAGAACTTCTTTATTTATAGTTATATTGCCTTTATTGCTTGAAATATGTAGGGTATTAACTGCTTTCTGTTTAACATTTAAATTTGTGTCAGTTTGTCACTAAGTTTAGAGTATTTTGAATTTAAATAATCATAAAAAGTGTAATTTTTCACTGTATACAGTATATGCATAATACATGGTATTAATTTATATATAGATTCATTTTCTACTTGAAGAGAAAGAATAGCAATTTATATATTCTGTAGTGTGAACTAGTAGTATGTTTATTTAATTAAAAATCCAGTTTTCTATAAATTTTATCAAAAGAATTTCAGTTCACTTAAGACTTATAGCATAAATGTTTTCTTCATTTAGGAAGCTCACGAGTTCAAGTGTATTATTAGATATAGATCTTTCACATATTTTGTTAATACACTGCGAGTTCACATGTTTCAATGCATTTTGTATTCTGTTAGGAAAAGAAGTACTTTTACTGTTATGTATTAGCCATCTATGCTTTTTAATTAAAATAAACTACAACATTTTTTTAATTGCTTCTGTGGTATTATGCAAGCTTCTGAACTGCAATTTATATTGTTAAAAGTTTATATTTGGGTGCTCCTTATTCCTTTTCATGCCAAGATTGGTGCCAGGAAGTCACAGTTTCAAGATGGTCGCCACACAAAACCAAAATAAGAAGTCAAAGATTTGCACAGACTTGGTGTCCATGTACACATCAATCTATTTTCGATGACTCTTTTCCATTTAATATATATACATATATATATTAAATGCATGTCAGGGTTACCATAATCTGGCGCGCACGCACTCTTCCGAGATGTCAACAAATCGCTAAGGGCCAGTTATCTGAAAACTGCCTTCAAGGTATGTATATATAATCAATTTCAAAGGGAAGTAAAAAGGTGGAAAGAGAATTAAATTTAATGCCTAAAACAAAGGTAAACCTAATTATCTTATCTACATGAAGTTAGTGAAATCACTGAGTTACATCTATTCAGTGGGAAATAGTTAAAAAAACATAAAGTATCCGAAGAAAAACAAAACTACTGTGTAAGTATATATTTTTGCATATGGCTTGGAGGATTAATGTCAAAAGAGATACCAGTGAAATCATTGTAAAATTAAGAACCAGACATATTAAAGAAATGAAAACTAACCAAATAGACAAGAACTAATAGATTCTATTTGTTGAAATTGCACTGGTATTGAACTTACCCCTAAATATACCTACATGTACTTTGCAATGTGGGCATCATGGATGGATCTCAAGAACAAATCCTTCATATTGATAAAGTAGTACTGTCAGCTCATGAATTGGCTTTTTGATAAACGTAAATGCTAGCAAGTTTAAAAAAAAAAAAGAGCTAAGTTTATTCTGTAAGTTGTGCTACTCGAAAGGCTTTGTATCATAATCTGATTATCTTATTCAAAACTTATTCATTGGTATTATTTTATAATTAGGCTGAATAATAATCATGGGATGGAATTAATGTGTTCAGTAACACTGTTGTATTCATTATTAAGTCTTCAATAGACTTAGCGTATTGTTAAAAATTTTCACTATGTGAATATCTGACTTTTCGATGGTATTGTTCTCTTACTGCCAAGTTTTATTAAGAATAGATCCGCACATCTCTTATTTAAAAAAATATAAAGCAAAAAATTATCAAGTGTAGAGTGGAAAATATCTCAGACTGCAATTCTTTTGAAAAGAGGCAAAAATATACTTGCCATATCCAAAATTACTTGACATGTCTTCAATTAATGCATAGATTGTTAATTCTTTCTAACCTTTTCTCTAATGTTATAATGTATAGAAATTAGGACTATCCGTAATTGTATAGGCCCAAGGCGTTTGACTTCCGGAGTACCTTTGCAACTTAATGCAATTACCTCCACAACTTCGATAAGGAAACTGAGTTGGATAAGAAAAAGCAATGGCTAAAGGAGAGATGAACAAACCATTAAGGGTTTACACTGAAAGAAATGAATAAGGAGTCCACATATGGGACGAGCAATTCTCTCTGCTTTCAACTTGTAATTCAAGATTGAAAGAGAGAAAGGTGTTGATTGAGGCGAATTCCGGAACGCATTGCGTTAATGGAATCGGAAAGGTTGGAAGAAAACAGCCGGGAAACATGTTGTTCCAGGGCTTGGGAAAGGTAATATTAGGTAATACGGACAGCCGCAGTGATAGCTAATGCCTTGGGGATGAGAGGGGGGGGAAAGAGTCTTGCGACTAAAACTGGAATCCAGGGAAGAAGGAGCGAAGAGGAGGGGGGGAGAGTCTATTCAGGAAGGGTAATTGTATAGGTGGCCCTAAATAATTAAGAAGAAAGATAATATGCTTATGTCTCATTTTAAGTACACTGTTTGTGAATATAATTAATTCAGGAATCATGCTTGTAGTCCTAAATTGTCAAAGCATATTTCCTTATAAGAAATAATGGATAGTCAAAAGATTTATTCTACAGGTAAAACATTATTGATATAAAAATCATATGAAATATAAAGTCAAAATGCATAGAATAAATTAACCGTTTCATGAGAGAATGGTGCTAGCACCAGGGTACCTGGGCCGAAGACCCTATCCCTAATCGAACAATTGGGTAATTCTTAATTCTGTACAGCATAAGATAAAACATTAGTCAAACTCGACATTTAATACTTAAGGGGGGTAGAGTAGACTTAGCCATATACAAGGTACCCCTTGTATTATGGCTAAGTTGTTTGATTTATCTCCAAGTTGGTGTTTGATTTATGGTAGCCTGAGTAGTTGAATGTTATGGAAATCCTATTGTGATGTAATCGGGTGCATGTTTGTGGTAAATTTTGAATCATGGGCTGTTTTGTAAGCATTTTTGTGGTATGTGTAGGTTTGATTCTTTAGACGGTGGAATGGCCGAATGTAGTAAGATTAATTTGAAGTTTCTGTACGATTAAGATTATGTATTTTTTGTTTGCCTATATTGTACAATTTGGTGCTCTTTTGACTTTTTAAGTGAAAACATATCGATGTGTACATGGACAAAGTAAAGGGAGCGCGCAATGCAAGTTTGTGCAATTCTCGGATTTTTCTTTTTTAAGTGAAAATAGGTCGATGTGTACATGGATAAAGTTAAAAAAGTGCGCAATGCCATTTTTGTGCAAGTCGGGGATTTTTTTTTTTAAGTGAAAATAGGTTGACATGTACATGGATAAAGTCAAAGGAGTACGCAATGCCATTTTTGTGCAATTCGGGGATTTTTTTTAAGTGAAAATAAGTCTATGTGTACATGGATACTGAGTTTGTGCAATTGTGTTGTCTTGTTATTTTGGCTTTGTGTAGCGGCGCTTTTTGGCGCAAAAATTGCCGCTTCACAAGCCAAAATAACGAGTCAAAGAATAGCACAAAATCGGTATCCATGTACTGCCACGTTTCGCCAAGGAGTACCCTAAACTATACTTTTACCCTTAAGGTAAATAAAGATACAAAATTTTTGGTTTTGAATTAACGATGAGTGTGAAACTGAGCCGAGAGTGAAAATGCAAAGCATCTGGAAAGCCATTAAAGCTGGTGGCATAATTTGTAGGAGAACTACATAGTACATGGAAATGCAAGGTAGCACAAACTTTTTGTGAATTACAGAAAGGAAATGAAATTACAAATGGAAGTATTTTAAGAAAAGTCAATAGTAATTGAACTGACTATAGATAACATGAAATGGAGTAGAATTGAGCGTTAGGAGAACTATGATCTAGCCGATAAATTTAAGCCCATGGTTTTGGACTGCATGTATACATAATAGTACATATTTTTTATATGTCATATAAATACATATTTTTAAAAATTTATCTTATTATTTTATAAATACAGTGTGCTTTAAATATTTTTAGAGTGTTTTACTAGCATGAGTGCTACTAATCGCTGTTAGTGTTGTTTGACATGAATATTTCCTCAAACAGGTTGAATAATTTATCAGTAAAATTTTCCGTTGATTGTATTTCAGGCATTCTAACTGTGATTTTCATAATAATGTTGGACAATGAAAGTCCCTTGAACAAGTTACTTATTTTTTCTTTGAGGAGTTTGAAGACTTTGCTTAAGGAGCTTTTGCTTTTTTTTTACAATTCATTTTGCCATCATTCGATGTTCTGAACACAATTCTACAAAGCAAAATTCCATTAATTCATGTTTTGCAATCAATGATTTATGATCTGTTTAAAGACATTTTATCAAAGTTTGTAAAACCAGTCTGTGTTTTGTCTTGTAATTCTATATATGATGTGATTTATGGTGAAATAGAAAATCAGAAGGAAGATGAAGATTTGGTAATAGGAGCTGCAACTACAAAAGTAGTGGAAGAACTTTCAGAAGAAGACAAAAATATAGTTTTTATATCTTCATGTTAGAAGCTTACTTCTGTCGAATATGTGATTACACACTACATAAATTTCCAGTCAACGATGAAGTGATTTTGCATGCTAAAGTTGCTGATGTTTCTGCTCTAGCAAATGCATCTTTTTTTTATATAAGGTACTTTTTGAATAAATTTCCAGTGTGTTACTTCGTTTAGTCATGAAAGATGATGATATTGATGTTGCTACTGATATACTGCAGTCGCAATTTTGCAGTTTACAATTAGAAAACTTGGATGAAGTTATAAAATCAGCTAGGATTGACACCCAGTGGAGGTTAATTGGAAAATTGAAAGGTGCTGATGGAATTTTAAAATATAGTGAACTCTCTAGAATTATGTTGGCCATCTTGACAGATCCCCATAGTAATGCAGAGTGCGAGAGGATCTTCAGTGTTGTTGCGAAAACGAGGACTAAATTTAGATCTAATATTAGTGATGACACATTAGAAAAACATTTATTAGCGAAAGCAGGCGTACGTGGCAATTGCTATGAACAAAATTATGAAGTTTCTTTCTTAA